ATTTATCAATTAAAATACGTTTCGGTGTATTTTTCCACCATCATCAGTTTTTCTAAAATAACATAGTTAAAAAAAAATTTCATTAATTTAAAAAACCATCACAGTTTGTCAACAGCCTCATCATATCACATATTAAAATACATCACAATTGCAACACTTTAAAACATTCTAAAATTAATTAGGCCTAACAGGTGATTAGTCAGGACAATCAAATGGGAAGAGACTAGAATTCTTTGTTCAGATACTTAAATATTTTTACTTACACGTGCCAACAATAAACAACTATCCAAAGTCATTTTTTGAACCAATCATAAAGCAAAGGATAAATAAAATATACAATTCAACTAAATGGAGAAACATAAATAAAAGAAGAGAAGGTGATTTCAAGTATTTATCATTACCAAATATTCCGGAAATTAACACAAAAATTAAAAATATATTCAAATCACATAATATCGACATAGCAGAAAAAACTGAAAACTCCTTAGCAAATGAATGTTTCACAAAATTTAAACCTAGGATTGACAAATTAGACACGCCTAATGTAATTTACAAAATAGTTTGAATTGTGATAACACAGATATAGGTCAAACAGGACAATATCTAAAGAAAAGAATATACGAACATAAGAATAGTAAAAAGTCTAAGAAAAAATAACGAAAATGGTACAACATTAGCACAGCATGCACAACAGAGGTTACATAATTTTGATTTTGATAACACAAAAATACTGATTAACGAGAGTAATTATAATAACAGAAGAGTCCACGAAATGATACAGATTAAAAAACATAACAATGCTATGAATTTCAGATCGGATACCGACAATCTTAGCTCAGTATATCATACATTAATTAAGTAAAATAAACATAGAATATTAACTAACACCCGGTATATTGAAGAATTTTGCAAACCAAAAATAATGTTCTCAGAATTCAAAGAAAAATAGCTGAAAGTAAAAGAAATCAATATAAACAATATTTTATTCGCTTTGTGTCCAAAATGGATAAAATTAATACTCCAAATGTATGCCAAGGCTTAAAGCAGCAACAACGCTACACGTGTAAGTAAAAATATTTAAGTATCTGAACAAAGAATGCTAGTCTCTTCCCAAATTTGATTGTCCTGACTAATCACCTATTAGGCCTAATTAATTTTAGAATGTTTTAAAGTGTTGCAATTGTAATGTATTTTAATATGTGATATGATGAGGCTGTTGACGAACTGTGATTGTTTTTTAAATGAATGAAATTTTTTTTAACTATGTTATTTGAGAAAACTGATGATGGAGAAAAAATACAACGAAACGTATTTTAATTGATAAATAAAGACAATAAATGACTGACATCCAGGAATTAATTTTGATGTGTTATAGCTAATAACGCAAATTTATAAATGGGCTTATTATTTATCATGCATAATAAAGTTACTAGCCTAACTTAGAACTTGTAAATATTCTGCTTACTTCAGCATATTAACATCTTGTAGATATCAAATAAAATCAAGGTGACTTGTGTTTCAGTCGAAGTAAAAATTAACTTGAAATTCAATTCTATACACAATATGCTGAATTTAATTTTTATTTATGTAAATTAAGTTGTAGCTGATTGCTCTTATTCTCAGTTGCAAAGCTCGTTTTAATCAAACACATTGAAAATGTAACTGTGCTCTAATAAGCGCGAATAAATATATTGGGGAGGCCCAAACAGCCGACAACCACGAAATTAATATTTAACTTTAAGCTTACCGCAAGTAGCGATGGTCTTAACAATTTTTTTGAATAGAAATACACTCCACTTTGCACTTAACAATAATTATATTAAAACGCTCCTTGAAATTGTCATCACCTAAAAGATTTGGAATTGGAAAAGCAGAATTCCCGAACGGGAGAGTTGATGGCGTCTTCCTGTCGGGCGCCTCAATGAGATCGCGCTTGCGAAACTGAGAATGGCACTTATGATAATTCTAGATGGAAATTATCGACAAAAACATATTTAATGTACATAAAACCACTGGTACTAAAAATTATATTGCACTTGTGATTATGTATAACTTTTGCCTTAGCCATATATGTTAATTCGTAATTTGCGGTTAATAGAGTCTAAGGTCTCCTAGGAATATGAACTGCTCTTGCACTTATATCATTATATTGTTAACACAGTTAATAGTTTTCATATAATCAGATATGGATAGTTTGGGTCGGCGTATTATTTCTTTATCTTAGATATATTTGGAAATCATCTATGTTTAAAAATTGTGCTTGGTTCATTTGATATTTTTGTCCTGATTGAAGGTAAATGTATGTAGAAAGTCGCAAGAATTTCTAACCTTAGAGGCACGTGATTGTTCGGACTGGAATATTGACTAGTAACTGAACAATAACAAATTAACGGTTAGAAGAAAATATACCTATATACTATTCCCTGTGGGGAATGCCCCCCAAAATGGGGACGGGGGATGCCAGTTCAGTAGTAGACAGTTTTAATTCATAAAATAAGGTCTTTTTAGGTCGTTGGATATCATCAACAAACTATTTGCTTCGTAACTGAATGTTCTTCAATTTGTGTCACTTAAAACCAGGAGTTTTGATCAAGATTTATTTTATATTTTATAACATAGTTAGATAAGTTTGTAAAATGATGCCGCTTAGTAGGAGTAAACGAGTTTCAAATTCTGTTCAACTTTTAGATAAATCAATTACAACTGATATTTTTGAAGTTGCTATCATCAATACGTTAGCTGACCAGTTGAAGATCATAGAAAATTGCAACAGACATTTGAAAATGCTCTACAGTCCAAACGTCCTATTGCGAGCTTACTGGTGTGAGCATATTCACGTACGTGTAAATCCGTCTTGAAATATTACTATTTCACTAAATATCAGATCTAAAGCTACAGCTTTCTTTGCTGTGTTCCCTTGGGATCTTTCGTGGCGGTTTCATATTCACTTTACTGCTTGTCTTTTTCCCATGCGTCTGTTTACCACAGCTTCAAAATCCGTCCGCGAACGGTTTGTGCAGCTGGGAATATTAAACCGATAGTTTACTTCAACTTCTTATTGTTCCCACTTCAGCCACAGTGGTGTAATAAGCAATATGTAAAGAAGAAATATCTCCCTAGTCTTAATTTTACCGCCAGGATACCTTGCAGTCACTGTTGCAATTGCTTCTATTCAACAATGATTGGATTTTCAAGCATCATTTCTCAATGAGAACCAGTTTAGTTGGTTTGCCTGCATCTGGTTGAGGTCGTTCCAAAAGGGATAAAAATATAAAAGTATTGATGTTTTTGAGTAGCTGCGATACCCAACAAACAGTGTTATTTAAAAATTCCGTATAAATACGGTAGGTTGATCCAAATAGACGAATCCTATTTAGAAAAATAACTGAATAAAAACTGCTATCTTTTTCGAAAAAATTTTATTTGGAGAGTTGCTGTCATTTAAGGGGTAAAACCTTTCCAGAATTACATTTTTAATATCACATGTTCAATAGCTCAATTAAATATTTTCAACAGTTAGTCGTTTGCGAAGACACTCTTATTTTTCAAAGCAAATTAATTGTCACAACTTGATTATCTGAAGTGAACTCCTCTAGAGAGAAGAGTAAATTTGTGCGTACATGGGGAATTTTTTTGTATGGAGTTAAATGAGCAATGATATAAAAAACTCTCAGTAATAAATTAACTAAGAGTGGAAGAAACAAGTTACTATAGACCTCGTCCATTTCTCACTTGTAATTACTTAGCCTACAGAAGCTTAATATCCCCATCGTTTAAAAGCTATTAGAGCACAAAAAAACCAAAATTCCTTCCGAAATTAGGAGAAACTTGTCCTTTATTGATTGATTGGAACTTGAATTTCTGCATAAAAACCATTAAGGGTGTAACTACGGGTTACTTAAGGAGTCAATGCAACCGGAATCGCTAACTTCCATCAATCTTCTATCGGGAAAATTGGAATTATTTCACGGGCCAAGCAACTGAATAGCAAATTAGCCATTCCGGAGATTTATTCAGGTTTTTTGCGTTTAAAATATATAAAAGACGCCCATAAATTAGTCTGGATTTTATTTTTTTGTGTTTTTAAGCCACTCCATCGAGTTATTATTGTTATTTTAAACATTCACTATTTTGAGTCATTGTCATAAAGTACTAAATTTTGATGTGTAGGCGAGTTTCGTATACAACAATAGCGCTTTTCACTTGCATTAATCGAAATCAACACCAATTATTACTAATGTCCTAATTAAACCCATGTAACGGGCTGCAAATTACATCTGCCTAAATGACGCCATCAACTTCAACATTTCTATGTACCTACTTGTCCGAACATGGGATTTGTCTGTAAAATCCCCAGCTAAAGGGAAACTATTATATATTAATGACCACTATTCCATGTCCTCAAATTAGGTATTGGCTAGTGCAGTTTTAATTGGGGAACTGCGGTATAATGCTGATCAATTATTACTAACAGAGTTAATATGTTTGGTTCAGCTATAAATATTTTAATTTTGCGATTGTGTGATGGTTATGTTAAAGTTTAGCGAACGATACCAAAGTTCTTCTTTGAAAAATCTTAGAAAACTGAAATCGTTGCGATCGAGATTTGCGGTTTATAGATATAGATGTGAAAGTTTCACTTTGCCTTGTGAGTTGCTGTTGTTAATGTTAGCATTTCAGTTTCAATAACATAAATAGAGTTAGGTTAATAAAAAGTTGCTTTCAATATAAAAAATTTAAAACAGAACTTTTTGTCATGTCAAATTCTACAGCACATTTCTCGGTATTTGCCAGAGCCAGCACAACAGATGCGTGACGAATTTTCTCCATTCCTCCAGAGCCCGATCGAATACAATGTATAATTAATCTTATTTGTTTTTCATTTAAAGCAATCCTTCACCATCTACCAGGATATGCTTTTAAGGAAAATTGTTTCATCAATCAAGGTTGTTAATTATGGTTGGAATATTAAAAAGCGGTTTTTCTAATTAAGGATAAATTCCCCTTTAATTTATTATCGGGCTTCTGGCAATAATTTACCAGCATGCTGTTTTTTGCTATCACCATTCATTTTTTGGTAACGTTTTAACTGAGTGATTTTTGGCTTCAGGTAATTCGTCCGGTAGCCGAAAATGCGTGTTCGACATTTAAATTTTCGTTTGGCTCTATGGACGTGTCTGAAATGTTTTTGTTACACGAGAATTTCGGACCATGCTTTAACATTTTCATGAATATTTAATGCTAAGGAAATAGTATCTTAAGTGCCAATTTGCTAGAAAGAAAATGTAAAGTTGGTAAAAAGTATAAAAATGTATTATATACACTATCTGAATTTTTCTACTACTATCAAGAAGTTATTAAAAAATCAGCAAATAAGTACTGACTACTGACTGTATGGATGTGTTTACAGCAATTAGCAATCTTCATTTTAAAATTGAATCGGTTTTCGTTAGCTTCCTAAATTAATCATCAAAATATACGGATAAAATACACCAATTAAAAATATGTACGGTGTGCTAAAACAGGTCCCTTAAAGTATATAAATTATTTTAGCGGAGTTTAAATTTATTGTTTGAAAATAAATGCATTTCTGCTCAGGAACACGATTATAACATGTTATGAAATAACAACTTTTGGTCGCCACACGCCGCACACTGAATTGTAAAATCACAATTAATAATTACGTAGAGGTTTGCATTTTGCAAATAATGGTTTTTGTTTAACACTTCATTGCAATAATTATAATCTATCTTACGCATTTCATAGACATAATAGTCCAGATAAAAATGTTTGAATAAAATTTGTCATTGCTCACATTCTTTCTAATTGTTTAGTCTTTAATCTTTAATAAGTAGACGGTCAAAATACTTTTCGTTGCTTTTGGTCTGAAAATTCCTAAAACACACACACAATTTAAGCATTATAAGGACGCAGGAAACACTGCAGGATTTTTGCACTTGAAGATATTTAGAAAGAGCGAATGTTAGATTTTTACTAGTGAAGTGATAGCAAAAATACTTACCTATCACTTTCCTTAATAAACTGTAAGGAAACACCAACAAAAGTAGGAAAAGGACCTTAGAAGAACATTATTGTGCAAATTTTATCTACTTTAATTTGAGAAAAACTACTACTTCTAGGGATTGTCAAATAGCGCAAATAATGTTTTAGTAAGTTTTCTTTGCACAGGAAAAACCCGCTAAAAAAGTCCATAATACCAAAATATTGCTATGCTTGCAGCAATGTTGCTGTTGAGCTACTTATGACGAAATAACTTCTAAGATCCAAAAATCGATTATTGAAAGATGATAAAATTTGTCTGCAGTTTCCTTGCAGTTGAACATTTCCTTGCTTGTGTGCTTTATATGAAATAACGCGGATCAACAGTTGGGGAGGCGCTTTAAAAGAAGCAAATTTAAAAAAAGAACGTTTATGTAGCATTGATTTAATTTGCTAAGCTTACCAACAGATTTTAATTTCATCACATTCGTACATATTATTAGTACGACAATTCTGTTTTAATTCTCCAGAGCCAATCATGGGTACTAGTTAATTTGTGACCACCCTCAAGTGATTAAATTCGTTTATAAATTCGTTTGCCATCTGGAACACCGGATTTGGAGGACCTGGAAGTCTGAAAAAACATATTTATTTAAATTATTAGAGCCCAGTGATCTTACAATTGCTATGCCACTTATCAAGAAAAATATATTTACTAGCGTTGCAACATTAGCCTACCAATATAACAAAAAAATGTATTAATGTGCTATTTGTCTGAAACTTGCGAATGCGATTGCGATATTCAATTAGAGGCTACATACCACGGTAAGTTCGGAGCCAGAAACTGAGTAAATTCTCGTCCATTCGTGAGAACTGAAGCTTGAAACGACAGTCAGTACGTCTCCATTTAATGAAGCGGTACTCTAGAAGACAAAAAGCTTAAAAAATAAAGCGATCTCACACATCCTACAGTCAAAAACATATTTGAAATGTGTACTTGTCGATCCAGGTTATATTAATTTATAGGCAACAAACCTTAAACACTTTTCCATCTGGACCAGTAGCAGTAGTTTCTTGATTGAGTTTCAAGTTTTGAAGTGGTCCTCTCGACGAGATTTTGATGTCGTCTCCATTAACAGAAATTTCCAAGTCTTGATTATCATCCTCAACTTTTTGGGCTTGTTCAACGGGCATTCCTTTAAACAACCATTTGGTACACTTTCTCAATAACGTCAACGTCGGAATTCATATTTTAATAATTTAATTAATATAGCAGACTATTTCAGAAAACTTTCAAGTGTTTGTTCTACAGGCAACAAATTAAAACCCGGATAAAAATGAAGCATAACATAGACTTTTTAAATGTAGTTGTGGAATCAAATAAAATATGAAGTTACATTTAGAAAAGCACTAGTTAACACAGGGATTAATTCCATTTGCTGGAGAAGTTTATGGATTTTAAATCTTGTAACATTAGCAACCTACTTACCGTTTGCAACCAGATGTTCTAATATGCCCTCATTTTTAATGAGTTGATACTTGCCACTGAATGCCATTTTAAAGTTTAAGTACACACAGGAATGAATTTGCTACCTACGGTTCACTTTGGCTTCCTATCGTTTTTATATGGGCAATTATTATCAACGGAAAAGTAGCCTGTTAATTGTTTGCAGTTATTTTAAGTATTTACAGTACTTAAAATATTTATAACAATTCCACATTCATAGCATATTAATGATTTAATCTCTCTCGTTCCTGATAAGCAGGATTGCAGCGATGACAAGACATGTTGGTGCTAAGATTGGCTTTGAATCATAAGCGCATATTACGTAAACATGAAAAAGCATATTTTCCAACAAAGTTAGTTTTGACAAAAAAATTTCCGGTTACAAAACGTTTTTTTAACGGGACATTTTAATGTTCGCGGGTTTTCAATGCGATTATACCGAATTTGTAAATCTGTTTTCTTAGAATTATATGAAGCTGCATTGAAAGGTTGATTCATCAATAATAATTTTCTTCAATAGTTAATAAACGAGGCTAAAAGTTTCCGGTGTCCAACACATTGAAGTTAAAAATAGTTCTATTTGATCCGATTTTAAAAAGCACAATGATTCTGAAGAAAATCAAGCT